TAATTTAAGCTTGTTTATTAACCAACGAAGAACTTAGAATAGCTCTAGGTCTTCGTTTTGTGAAATCGTAACGCCGACATCATGTGTCCTTTGGGAAACTCATATCTATAACCTTAGACACCCCCCCCCCCACCATACTATCATTTTTCAAAAGGCAAATTATCCAGGCACTATGCCATCAATTCGATCATCAATAGAATCTTAAAATCCGCAAATATTCCTTCTACATTAGAACCATCTGGCTTCAGCCTTGATGGAATGACGCTAGTCCCTTGGAGCCGAGGTATACCCCTCGCTTGGAATTATACATGTGTAGATCGTTCTGCCAGATCTTTTTATTTCAACTCTATCACGAAAGCTGAAAATACAAAAACAAATAAATATAGCCACCTTAATAATCATTTATTTATTCCGGTAGTTACAGACACCTGTGAATCACTTGGACCCCAAGTCTAAAATTATTCAAAATAATAGGGCAAAGGTTACATTTAATCACAGGTCAAAAAAGGCTTCTACCTACGTTAAAGAATATTAATCAAAATTTGTCGATTCAAATTTATTAAGCCCCGCCGACCAAACCTAAATACATTATTTTATTTCTCTTTATTATATATTTTTACATAGAATATAGATATAGTATCTATTATAATAATCCTCATAAAATCAATCAAATTTAACCAATAGTGTTCTTTTAAAAACTATTTGTCCAATGATAATCATCATAGCAATTTTAAGCCAAAAGTAATTCCCATGTGATTTGTAATATGGCGAATTTCTTCAATCTATTGCTTGGTTTAGCTGATATCAATAGATTTGATGATGGCACTTTCAGAAATAGTAGTTTATATCAAATTAAATTTTAATATTAATAAATAATTTTTAATTATTTTAGAGTTAGAAAATCAAACATTTTAGATTGCACAAGAATATTTTGAGAAACATGGATTTCCAAACTACATTGGCTCATTAGATGGTAAGCTCATAAAAATCAAGTCCAGCAAAATCTCCAGTTTTTTTTCAATTAAATTTATATATATAGATGTGATGATGGCAATTTCAGAAATAGTAGTTTATATCAAAGTTTTAATAAATAATTTTTAAATATTTTAGAGTTAGAAAATTAAACATTTTATATTTTGAGAAACATATATTTCCAAACTGCCTTGGCTCTTAGATGGTAAGCACATAAAAAATAGTAGTGCAAAATTAGATAATTTTTATGCATAAGTAAATATTTGCATCTCTCATATCTTTTCTGAAAATTTGGCCTTTCTACATGCATTCCATAGTGTTGTATATTTTCTCATAACTTCATGATTGTAGAATGTATGTTATTCATAATAATTTTCATTAAAAACCTTTTTATTTTACTTATATATAATTTGACTATGATTGAAGTTAAACTATTATTTGTTAACTTTTATACAACTCTATATCTTTTAATTAGGTAATTTTTATACAAAAGGTAATATTTGCATCTCTCTTATCTTTTCTGAAAATTTGGCCTTTCTACATGCATTCCTTAGTTTTGTATATTTTCTCATAATTTCATAATTGTAGAATGTATGTAATTCATAACTTATTATAACATATTTGATTAAATGTATAACCTTTTTGCTTTACTTATATATAATTTGACAATGATTAAAGTTAACCACCTATTATTTTCTAACTTAGAATATCTTATGTCTTAAATTTAATTTTATATTTTGTAACTAAGTAATAAATCATTTGAAAGGGTGGTGGTTTGTTTAAAATTTAAATTATAAACATATTTTCAGCATGGTACTTTAATATGTATAATTTCATATAAATACCAGGAGCAGGAATCAGAAATTTCCTCTCATTTGATATTAATTTTCCCAATAATATAAAATGGCAAAAGAAAATATATACATATTAGAAAGATTTAATTTACATAAACCCCTTACATCAGGCCTATTTTCTGGATCCAAAGAAAAAATAAATTATTCTAAGGTTTCCTGGGCTTGGGAAATATTTTTCATAATTAATATGGACTTGGACGTAGCTTGAGAAACATTTTTCAAAATTAATATAGTCTTAGACTCCTGAAAAAATTTTAATTTTTAAATATGGGCTAGAAATTGGCCTGGAAATTTCTTTTAAAGACATGGCTAGGTTTGATCAAAAACCAAGGCCCATGCAACTTTCATATTCAAATTGTATTTTTATATATTTTATTTCAGTTCTCAATTATCTAAATTATTATGGTCTTTGGTGGGTTTGAGAAAATTTATCCAAGTGCGTGTACCTTTGGGAATTTTTTTAATAATAGGCATAGGTGTAATATTTAACACAGCATATTTATATGGCCACAGGTAAAAGCTAATTTAAATATATTTTTATTCAAAAAATAGTATTCATTTTGTCTGAAGTAGGGGTGAGCTGGGTCAAAATAGAATTAAAAATAGATATGGTTTTTAGAGATATATCTTCCAGGTTTGGGAAAAAATTTTAAAAATTACTATGGGTTGGCCAGACTTGAGAAATTTTTTTTATAAAATTATCATAGGTTGGGCTGGGCTTGGAAAATATTTTTATAAATTATACTCGGGGCTTGGGGAAAATTTTTCAAAATTATTATGAGCTTGGACGCTTAATTATTTTTTTATTATTAACTATGGGTTAGACATTGGAATTTTTTTGCAGGCCTGATCAAAAAACCAAGGCCCATGAAAATCTGATTTTGATTGTATTTTTAAATTCATTATGATCATTTAAATGTTTTATTTCAGCTTTCAACTACCAAAATTATTATGATCTTTCATTGGGCTTGGAAGAATTTTTTAAAATTATTATGGCTTCTTTGCCTGGGAATTTTTTTTAATATTAAATATTAGGTATAAGTGATCAGTAATATTTAACAAATAATATTGGTATTATCAAGTAAAAGCTTTAAATTTATTTTTACTCAAACATAGTATTTACACTTAGTTTTAATGGATTGAACCTGACCTGAAGGGGGAGGGGGTAAAAAGAATAAAAATTGGATATTATTTTCAAATAACAGGTAACTATCATAAAAGTAAGAAGAAAGTTCTCATTCCCCATCATTTTTGACGGGCTATCCACTAGTTATAATAATAATCCTCAAAAAACGTCAATCAAATTTAACCAAAGTGTTCTTTTAAAAAATATTTGTTCAATGATAATCATCATAGCAATTTTAAGCCAATAGTAATTCCCATGTGATTTGTAGGCGAATTTATTCAAATGCAACCCATTTTTAAACTATTGCTTGTTTAGCTGATAGCAATTACAAATTTAAATATATAGATGTGATGATGGCACTTTCAAAAATAATAGTTTATATCAAAGTAAATTTTTAATATTAATAAATAATTTTTAATTATTTTAGAGTTAGAAAATCAAACATTTTAGATTGCAGAAGAATTTTTGGAGAAACATGGATTTCCAAACTGCCTTGGCTCATTAGATGGTAAGCACATAAAAATAAATAGTCCTGAAAAATTAGATCTTTTAAACCAATTGCTTGGTTTAGCTGATAGCAATATTTTATATAACTATATATCTTATCATTAGATTAAATAAATGTTTGTCTCTAATCTTTTCTAAAAATTTGGCCTTTCTACATGCATTCCATAGTTGTATTTTTTCTCATACATAATTGTATAATGTATGTTATTCATAACTTTTTTATTAAATGTATAACATTTTTCTTTTACTTATATATAATTTGAATATGATTGAAGTTAACCTCCTATTATTTGTTAACTTAGAATATCTTTTTATTTTTTCTATTGTAATCTAATAACAATGTCTTAAATTAAATTTTATATTTTGTACCTAAATAATAAATCATTTGGAAGGGTGATGGTTTGTTTAAAATTTAAATTATATTATATGATATATCAAAATATTTATAATCTTTTATTAGCTTTTAAAAGTAATAAATTTTCTAAATTAGAATCTAACAAACACCCACGCTTCTCCCCTAAAACCTGTTTTGCGATACTAAACGCTCCACAGGAGCACTAGAGGGAAGCGGGGTATTGTATTTAATATAAATATTTTTTAATTCATGGAATTGTTCAAAAATAGTAATTTTGCTATCATTATTTAAAAAATATCTATCCAATATATTATTTGTTTCTTCTTCTTTAATCTCTAATAAATTCATAATATCTAAAACTATTTTTTATTATATATCTATAAAATGAATATTAATATGACTTACAAGATTTTTCAAAAAATTTTCAATATAAAAAGGAAAAACTGATGTTTAATGTTTCAAATGATTAGATGAAAAATCAATATAAAACTCGGCTCAACATTTAATAATGAATAAATTTAAATAAAATAAAATTTTATTTTCATTAAATTTTAATTAACAAATATTATTAATATTTAAAAAATAATATAATTTATATATTAAATTTAAAGGAGGAGCGCCGCTCCTCCGCTCCAGCCCTAAAAGGAGCTACTCCCGCTCCCGCTCCTCATTTTTAAAAAGGAGGGGCCTCCAGCTTTTTTTGAAAAAATGTAGATTCAAAAAAAATGAAATGTTTAGTGTATTTTTGTCTTTATTTTTCCTTAGTTTCCCAAATTTAGTAAAGTTATTCAATAAAAGAAATTGAAGGTTTAAAGTGTATTTTATGGTTATTTTTTAATTTTCCGTTATTTCCCCTAATTTTACCGGGGAAATTTCCTGAACCAATTTTTTCAGGAAATTTAAATCTCTAGTTACCTCCCCTCGTCTTTGGTAGTCGTGACATGATTTTAGGTTAGTTCTATTTGAAAATTTGACTCAACAAAGGTTAAATACGCTATTGAATGTAACTACTAATACAACATAAAAAAAATTATTGCTAGATTTTATTTTGTATAAGCTAGACTGTTTATAATTTAAATATACATAAAAATATTCATAAATACAATTGAACAGCAAATAATTTAATATAAGTTTAATCATTTATAAAATGTATAGCATAAATACTAATATTTAAAAAAAGTTAGGATGAAATTATAATTTTCCTAATTTTAATGTAAACTTTGGCCCATAAATAATTAACATTATGGCAGAAATATTTAAATTTTTCTACCAAAAATGGGGGAAAAAAACCATATGTGACGATAATGATATTAAATTATATGTTCCTTAAGTAATAAAATAATTTCTATTCAATCGTTTCTTCCTCTTCTTTGTAATGCAAATATATTTTTTGGTAAAAGAGTAGGTATCTTGATGTTAATTTTATTTTAAAGAAATACATTTATTGATATAATTGTCACCTTTAAATTGAATCCCGAAAAAAATTCCAGGAAACCCTTACTGAAAAAAAGCCACAAAATAATTATAGATTGCTTTCATTTTTCTGATAATCAAAAATTTTATTTGAACTATTATATTTAAAAATTCATAAATTTATAATTGGGTTAAAATTTATGAATATAAATGTTGTTGAATCTTCAAACGCTATTTTTAGTTTTTATTTAGGTCCCCGTAATGATAATTGTTTTTTTGCTTAATACATTAAAAAAAATAGGTCGCTTCATACTAAGCTCCCTAATGTGGTAGAAAAAACTGCATATTTTATAAAGCAGCATATTTATTTCGCGTTAATGTGTGTATTGAGTATTTGATTTAGCAAATGCGCCTACACAACTATAATTCCAAATCAAGGTCTGTCTTTTGGCTCAAGGTGTGAGTGTTATATCAAAGGTTTTTTATTATCTGACGTGATAAGTTTCGCTGATTCTAAAGTGCTGGGAATGAAAGCTGAAGATAGGGCTATAAATAAGATTAACAGCTTAGTAAAGTTTAGGTTGCGAACCGAATTTGCTATTTTACTTAATTTTATTAAGATATTGCAACTAGTGATCTGCATCGGGCCTAATTTTTCAAGCTCGACCCGGCCCGAATATTTTTTAAAAAAAGTTTTGCCGGCCCGGCCCGAAATTTTTTAAAAAAGTTATGCCGGACCGACCCGAACCCGAAATTTTTTTAAAAAAAATTTGTCGACGCGGCCCGGCTTGAATTTATTTAAATATAGAAATTAATTTTTATAATTACTCAAAATAAAAGACATATGTTATATGTCGTTTAGTTTCAATAAATAAAATCAAATATTTTTATTTTAAATAAAAAATTCAATATAAAATTGATAAATTTAGATATATTTAAAAAAATTTCCAAGGTCCGATCCGACCCGAATTTTTTTTTAAAATATTAGGCCCGGCCCGAACCCGATTACTTTAAATAGAATTAGGCCCGACTAACTTTGCAGATCTCTAATTGCAACATATCAAGATTTTAAGGGTTGGGTTTGGCTTTGTTATTCCTATAGGTTATTTATTTTGGGTCATTGTCCATCAACAACATTTATATGATTTAAAAATTTTTTTCTCAATTTCTAAATATAAATTTGAAGTTTTGCTAATTAAACTTTTTTAAATCGCGCCGGGCTAAGATCAATTTCATGTTATAACTGATTTCATCAAAATAATGAAATACGAAAAAGTTAATAATAAAGTTAGGGTTATGTTAAATCACGAGTCCTAGATTCAAAATATTTTTCCTACCAAACATGGATTTAGCCCACTAAACAATTTTTTTAGTGTGGTTGAGAATGTTCTCTTTACTAAACCTATATAGATTAAGATAATAATATTATCAACTAATCATTTGTGAATTATTGTATTTGTAAATATCTATTTTGTATATATTATGTAGAATATAATTTTTAAATGTCAAAAAATTATATTCGGCATTATATTGATTATTGTGTATCAATTTAGTAAGGTGGGGTGGAGGGGGGTAAAATTTTGGTTGGTATTTTTCATTATAAATTTTAATATTTTTAGGTACCTTTTTTTTGATTACAAATTTAAAATATTATCTTAGTTTCACACTTTTTTCTTATAATTTTATGTTATTATTGCTTTTGGGGAAATTTATTATTTGCTTAAAATTGGACTTACAAAAACATTGGTTAAAGAAAATAATTTAAAGTTTATGCTAATCTTCTATTTAAAAATCGAGTATATCGAAGAAATAAATTTACTGAATGACGTTCATGGTTTTATAAATCGATTTAACAAAGTAAATTATATCTTTAAATTAACATTTGTGCATTTTTAAAAAAAAGTTTTTTCCATCACTCTATAAAACTTATATGGTGTTGTTCTTTTTTAAAACTTATTTAATTTATATTCTAAGTTCATCTGTTTTTTACAACTAAATATGTTTTTTTAAATGGAAAGGATACTCATAAGGATAAAATTTAATAAATATTATAACCATCCTAAATTCAAATAATGCTAAGTAAGAACAAAATTTCTATCAATTATGATGAATGCAATTGATAAGATACCGGTCTATTTTAGTGTTGATAAACGGCTCGTTTTGAGCCGATTTTTAAAAACGGCTAACTCAATATTTCATTCAGAACATAATTACGCAAGCCGGAAGATTTTACTCATAGAAGGAAGAAAGGTCTGGACATATATTTTCAAAATCTCGAGGCTTAAGCAATATTTTTATAGCTAAAATATTGAGTTAGCCGTTTTAAAAAATAGGCGCAAAACGAGCCGTTTAACAACACTAGTTTATTTACCCTTCACTCCCTAGCACCTCCTTAAGACTAGCCGGTGTAATACAATGATCATTGCATTTAAACCATTTATCATCGTCATTTGCTTTGTGGCTATTGTCATTTTGCGACGTGGAATGATTGAAGGAAGGAGTGGAATGATTATTTTTAACGTAGCAAGCGTAATGGCCAGAGTCGAGATTCCCTATATGGTTTACAACAGCGAATAAGAGGTATCTGATTTTTTCATTAATATTTTTATAGATACATAAATCTATAATATCAGAATGGGAGAAATAAAGACAATAAAATAAGGACTAAATAAATTTAGATTTCTTACATTATAAAATAGGGGACTTAACATTTTGCCAGCCATGCAAGGTTATAATTTATCTATATGTAAACCGTATAGTGATTGACATCTTCAAGGGTTTCAATGTTTTTTAAATAAATATTTTACTCAATTACTTGTTAGAAGCTATATCGATCCTGGAATCAATAACGCCATCTTTACAGGACGCTAAAAATGGAGTCATATCAAGTTCCTCTGGAAAAGATACAAATTTAGAGATTTTCTTGTGATTTTGAATGCTGTGCTCGAACCTCTGTTAAGTATTGAATAAGAAATAAAAAAATGCGAGAAAAGCAATGAGTTTAAAAAAAATAGTAGAATAGAATATGTCACCGTTATCATGGTTTAATATATTGTGCTTCCTTTTTGAAGGTTATCAATATAATATGTAAATAATTTAAAAATAAATTTTTGGAGTTGTTTATCATTAAATTTCATCGAATATTACAAATCTATGTGGTGATTTGGATTTCAGTGAAAATATCTTATTTACGATGTTATAGAAAACTAGCTAATGAAAGTTGACCAGTGGGTCAAAATATTTCGCTCCCATTTTTAACAGTTATAATTTAATCAAGTAAAATTTGCTAAGGGTTTGATTATATAATTTATTCAATATATAGGGGTGTTTTATCGACCTCACCTAGAAGTTGTAGCCTAAAAAAGTCATTTAACCTAGAGATAGGTTTTAATTGAATATTCACCTAAATTTAGTAGGCTGCAGAGTCACCTAGGGTCATCTATAACGCAAATCATCTTATCTATTGCTATGAGAAAAACATAAAAAAGATTCTAGGTGTGTTTTATCGATCTCACCTAGTAGTTGAAGCCTAAAAATGTCATTTGACCTAAAGATAGGTTTTAATTGAATAGTCACCTAAATTTAGTAGGATCCAGAGTCACCTAAGGTCATTAAAGCAAATTATCTTTTCTATTGCTATGAGAAAAACATAAAAAATTCAATCACTAAGTTTTCAACCGGTTTAAAAGGTAATATGTGTTGCGTAATATGTTGACTAATGAATCGTCGAAGCCTAATTAGGCTTAGTTTAAAAATCGGAATCGAAAATAGATTTTTTTTAAAAATTTATTTTTCGTTTTATTATTCTAAATTTTAAATAGAAATTGAATACACAGTGTAAAAGGTGACCAATGTCTTAAATAGTCGTTTAAAAAAAATCAATATAGTCTAAATAATGTGAATTTATAGTTTTTGTCCTAAATAATGCTTTAAATATGAATTACCAATGTCCAGGGATGTAACGATATTTTTTATCGCATCGGATCGATATTTCACCCTTTTTAAATATCGGTTATAGGCCAATTATAAAATTTGCCGATCCGATATAAAATGGCATCTTTAACAAAAATAAAATGTTATAAAATTTTAAAAAAAAGTTATATCTAAAATCATTTATTTTTATAAATAAAATCGAAATCCATTTTTATGTATATTTTTTAATAATAATTATTAATAAACATTCTGCCATTTTTTTGCGCATTCTGTTTATAAAAGCGTGCGATAATCTCTTCAGAATCTGTTTTTAGTGAAGCTGGTGATATCGACAGTTACCATCGCCGCAGGCTGACCTCTGATAAATTGGATTGGTATTTCTAAAAAGAAATCTTTGATATATTTAGTGTTGTTAAACGGCTCGATTTGAGCCGATTTTTAAAAACGGCTTACTCAATATTTTCGCCAGAATAATATTGTTTAAGTCTCGAGATTTCACTAATAGATGTCCAAACCTTTGTGCCACCAATAAGCAAAATCTTGAGGCTTGCATAATATTTTTCTTAATAAAATATTGAGTTAGCCGTTTTTAAAAATCGGCTCAAAATGAGCCGTTTAACAACACTAGATATATTATTGTTAAATATTTATTTATTACTTATTATATAAAAGTAATTTAAGAATAAAAATATTTTATATACTTTAAGAATTGCAATTGAATTGAATATAAACTATAACTGATCATTATAATATATTTAAATGACATAAGTTATGGTATAGTTAAATTATAGATGGTATACTAATAAAAATTATATTAAAATTAAAACCATTGGTATCTTTACAGAATACAAAATTAGATATGATATCGGATCGGTAATCCGCCGATATCAATTTACTATCGGGAATATCGGATCGGATCTACCTCCAAAAAGTGGTATCGGTACACCCCTAGTCATTTTTATAGGAAAAAAATTTCGTTTAAATAATGTATGTTTTAAATGTGAATTGAATTATTATACGTGACCAATGCCGTAAATAATCGACGATTTCAATGCCACTAAAACTAAATTTTGCTTTTATCTATCATTAACTCTCTAAACAATTAGAAGTAAAAACTAAAAATATTGAATAACTTATGGAGTATAATTATAATGTAAGGTAGAGGTCTGCAAAGTAATTTTTTCGCAGCCCGAGTCCGAATTTAAATTATTATTTTGTCCGAGACCGACCCGAGCACACATTTTTTAGTCCAACCCGACGCGAGCCCGAATAAAATTTTACAATTTGAAATTATAATAACCAAAAAAAATTTTGTGTATTTATTCATCGCCATCTTAAATAAAAGTTTATTTTGGCCATAATCTAATCAAGATATATATTAAGTTGCATTTTATTTAATTTGTAAAAAATATTATAAAAAAACTAAAATACAATCGAATCTAAAAATTATAAATAATTTAACTATATTTTCATATATTTGTTATCAGCACATCGACCCTTGGAAATAATTTATTGCGTATACCATCAACAGTATCTATTAAATTTCTAGAAATTGTCGTGAGATTTGGAATGATGCTTTTAAAATCAATATTTCCATATATTGACCCATTTTTGGCAAAATATTGGCAACAATCAACAAAGCCTTCCCCATGAATTGCATCAAATGATCTCAAATCACGTCAACAAAGCATGGTGAGCACCTTTGTACACTCTTTTTTTTAATTTGGCACAACTTTAAGTTTTTTGGGATCAGTACCAAAAAGGCTATAAATTGTTAATTCAGTCTTTTTACTCTCTATTGTAAATACGCATTTATGCCTAAAATAATTTAATATCATAAATTAGCAAAACAACTACTCATCATAAACAAATCAAAACGTTTTCTAGACCGCAGATTTGCCATTGGCATTTTCCATTACTTCATTCATTGCTCTTAATCTTTTCACCAATTTTTTTTAATTTGGCATCCATTGAAATAATTTTTTTAATATGAAAATATGAGGCAATTTAATTAAATAGGTATTAGTAAAATATATTATATTTAACTTGATAGAATATGATGAAATAAAGTATATAATAATATCACTAACTATGCAATGCAATGTACTAAAATATAATCACATAAAATAGTTATTATAAAATAATAATTGAAAATGACATATAATGATAATTTAGGATATTTATATTTTATTATTTTTCGGTTCGGACAGCTCTTACAACCCTAACAGAGCCCAAAAAATATTTTTTTAATGTCCGAACCCGGACAGCCTGTGCAGTTATCTAATGTAAGGTGTCTGTCCAAGTAGTAATGCAAAATCGCTACACTTAAGCCGCCTCAACCATGAAGCTCAAGCCCAAAATATAGGCTCAGTCTCGGACGAGGCGAAAAAATGGGCTCATCCTTGGAGCGTAAGCTAAAAAATCAGCTCAGCCTTGGAGCTAGAGCCGAAAAAATTGGTTCACTAGAAATCTGTGTATTATCGCTCAATATTGAAACTTAATAAATAATTATACATATATTAAATTTGATTATTGGAAAATAAGGATGGGTATCGTGTTACTTTTATTTTAAATTTCTATGGAAAATATTGACTCTATAAACATAATTTTGCGTTTTTATAAATTTGTTCTATTTTTCTGTTTTTTTAGATTTCTAGAGAAAATATCAGTGTTGTTAAAGTAGCTCGCTCTTTTTTTGGCAGCTATAGATAATAGCGCTCTACTTTTTTTCCAATTATTTATTTTTTTAGCGAGCTCCTTTTTTGGCGCTATTTAGCTACTTTAAAAAAAATGAATGTAACTATAAACATGAAAATTTAAATTTTAATTAATTTTTTTAAAATCGTTTAATTTGGTAAAGATACAGCAAGCTTTATTTTCTTTTGCCGGTTGAGTCTGAATTGTTGACTATTGAAACGCGAGAAGATATTAAGAAAATCTCAGAGTTTTACTCTGATGATTTATCAGGATCGTATGATGAGTTACTTTATGATATCAAAATTTTGGTATAAAAATCTTGACAGAATAGGGTACTCTTTGAGACCAAAAAATGTTTTGCAGGCCTTTTTCAAGTGTAATTGCACTTTAGATTCCCTGCCTAATATCAAAACATTGTTTTTTTTATTTAATACCTTACCGATTAGTACCTGTACTAATGAAAGGTTTTTTTAACAAAGGTTAAAAACCTAATTAAGAAATAGCACCGGAGAAAACCATTTAAATGGATTAGTTTTATTATATATGTATAAAGAAATTATTTAGATAAAAATTTGATTCTAGATAATTAGCCAAATCTCAGAGAAAAGTAGATCTCTCTTTATAAATTCAAATCATAAAATTACAATATGATTATAATATGTTCTTATTAGTCATAAAATTTTTATATGCAAAACTTATATTATACTATTTTAATAAAAGTATTGCATTTGCAATAAGGGTTATTTATATCTTGATAATATAATCACTTGTATTAATTATAATTGTTAAATTATATTTTTTTAAATACTGTAATGTGCAACAATTACTTATATTTTATTGTAATTATATATTTTTTTAAATAGTTATAAACAACAAATTTTTAATATAATAATCTGTATAAAATTTATAATTTTGAAATTCATTTTATTGAATATTCTCATTAAAATAAATCCTAGTTAAATAAAGGAATGTTATTTATAATAAAGTATTTTAGTAATAAATAAAATCTATAATGAAATATGAGTAAAATTTTGTTATAAGCAAAAATTTAATTAATATAATTATTTTTAACATAGAATAAGATAAATTGAGTAATCATAAAAAATAGGAGGTATGGGAGGCGATTTTTTTTTCCTACACCGAATGGATTGAATTATTTTACAATTGAACAGTAAACATTGATAAAATTTTCAGAATAATGTTTTCAGTTGCCTATTAATCATAAATTTAGCCAAAACTTTGTTATTAATATTTTTTATTTATGGTGGCTACGTGGTTAGACACTAATAAAGCTTAAAATTATGGCAAATTTTAGATATTTC